CCCTTCCCCCCTCCTTCCTTCCTTTCTCCCTTCATCCCTCCTTTCTCCCTCCATCCCTCCTTTTCCATCCTCCATTCCTCCTTCTTCCCCTCCATCCCTCATTTGCCACCCTGCATTCCTCCTTCTCCCACTCTATACTCTTCCTTCTCCCGTCTCCATCCATTTCTATATCCCACCTCTATCCCCCCTTTTACACCCATCATCCCTCCTTTTCTACCCTTCATCCCTCCTTTTCCACCCTCCATTTCTTTTCTACCCTTTATCCCTCCTTCTCCCCTTCCATCCTTTCATTTTCCTTCTCCCTTTCCTTTCTTCCATCCTCTCCTTCAACTCTCCATTCCCTTTACCATTCCTCCTTTTTCCCCCACTTTGCCCCGCTGTCCCCAAACCCAGACCCCAATCTCCACTGTTTCCACGCACGGGGATATTTTTGATTTCCCACCGACCGGGGAAAAATCATTCCCATCCTTTCAAGGGGTTCCGACTCTCGCCCGGGTGCTGAGCCCCCGGTAATTTGTGACCTCTGTGGGTCGGCCGGCACCGTGTGAAATCCCTGGTGGGTGCAGAGCCGCGGGTGGGTGCCCCGAAGGGCTCGCCCCTGGTTCCTCTGCTGAGGGGGTGAGAGGTGTCCCCAGGCACCGGTGGGGAGAAGCAGCCGTGCGTACATTCACGCGTGCGGGTCCACGGAAGGGACAGGCATTGGAGGCACTGGTGCAAGTGTGGGGTTTTGAAATAGCCACAAAAAAAAAAAAAGAAAATAAAGGCAAAAAAAGCGCGGCCTCTCCCACTGCGCCGGGGTGCGCCCACGCCGCTATTTTCAAACCCGCACGTGAGAGAGAAGAGATGTTTTATGTTTTGCGGAGCGAGGAACGCTCTGTCCCCGCTCTCCGAGCGAGGCTGCGGCCACCCCAGCGCACCCTCGGCCGGGACACAGCACAGCGCGACCTCCCCGCACCCCGAGGACGTCGGGGACGACTCCCGCCTGCAATGCAATACAGCCTTATATGCGCTCCACTCCATACATAAATAAAGAACACGTACGTCCTTATGTTCCGCTATCGTTTATGGCGCCGTGTTATACCACACGGTGCTGCGTGACGCGATGCGACGTGACAGCTCCCGGCCCTGGGCACGGCACGGCCCCGCCGGTGTCCCCGGGCCCGCCCCGAGGCGCCGGGGAAGGGCGCCCGCGTCGCTGCGCTGGCCTCGACGGCGGCGTTCGGGGGATCCCCTCCTGTCTCCCCACCCGTTATCCCTCCTCCTCCTCCCTGTCCCTTCTCTGCCTCCTATCCCCTCCTTTCTTTTCTCGCTCTTCCAAACCTTGCTCACTTCCCCGGTGAAGGTGTGTTCGCTCCTTGCATCCGCTATCTCTATTTTAGCCCCGGGAGGTGGAGGGGCATGCGTGTTTACCCTCCCCTCCTTCACCCGAAATTATCTTAGAAAAAAAATAAATCAGCCGAAAACCTAAATCTGCCCGAGGCCCCCAGGCTCGCCCCGTCCCGACCAGTTTATCCCAGCATCACTCAGCCGCAGGCAGGGGAAGGGGTTTATTTGTGGGGTCATTCAGCGCGCTGTGGCCTCCCCCGCCCCATGCCATCACACCTGCGCAGAGGGAGGTGCGACCCAGCTGGGATGGCGCCGCTGACCCTCGGCGAGGGCTTTGCCTCAAGCCCCGTCCCGGAGGGCAGCGGCTCCGGGGGTGTCGGTGCTGCGGAGCTCGGGGGGTGCCGGCCCTCAAAGGCCCCCCAGTCCCGCGCTCCGCTCCCCGGGTGGGTGTTCCCCTCCCGAGGGGGGCGGAGAGAGGCAGGCCGCGGCAGAGGCAGGTTTGGGAAGGCCGCCTCCCCTGGCTTTCCGACTGCCCCCGCCAGGCCGTGTCCCCGCCGCACCCGGCCGGGGGTGGGTCGGCACGCCCGGGGGAGGCCGGCTCGGAGCGTGCCCCGGGCAGGGCTGGTTTTGCCAGGAGTATGTGGGAACCCCTACAGAGAGACACCCTCCCATCGCTCCCCAAAGCTGCTGTGTCATCACGCCCCGAAGCAGAGGCAGCCCCCCAAAAGCGAACGGGGGGGTGTGTTCCCTTACCTGAGCGCTAGCCCGGGGGAGCCATGCGGAGCGGGGATTCTGTGTTCGGCTCGTGTTCTCCTGCCGTGTCCCGCAGCAGAAACTCCCTCCGGCCGGGGCCGGGGTCGGTGCGGGGGAGCCGGACTGGGCCGGGGGGACCCCGCGGCCGGGGAGAGCCGCACACCCCGGGCCGTGTTTATATGTAGAAAGAAGGGTAATTTGAGTGCTTATACCAAGAACCGGGGTTGTTAAGTTTGCAGGCAGACAGCTAAACGGTGCCAAGTGCGGGCAGGGAGGGGGGTGCGGGGGGGAGGCTGGGGGTGTGTAAGAAATAAAGAGCAATTGTCAGAAGCGAACAAAAGGCGGAGGATGGAAAGGAGCTGGGAATCCCAGGGCAGAGCCCCTCGGCGTGGACTTGAACTTGGGCTTTGACACCGTCTGCCAGGCGGAGAGCGGCTTCGGGCCGGGCGAGGCGGGCTGCGGGGGGAGCGACAACAGCCCCGGCAACGCAGAGAGGGGGCAAACACCCTCCAAACACGCACCTTGGACTCGGCGGGGGGGCACTCTGCTTCAGAATGCGGCTGAGCCGGGGAATAACCCAGACGGGCTGAGGCCCGACGGGCTCAGCGCACCTCGCGGCGCAGAGCGGGGCGGCGGCGGGGGGACCCCGTCGGGGCTGGCCGGGGCCAGACGGTCGGGGGGGCCGCCCGGTTCTCACAGTCTGCGCCCGAGCCTGGATTCTCTGCACGTCCCGGCCGGTCCCCCCTTTGCTACTATTCAGCACTTAATTGAACATTAATGGCAGCTGGGGATGAGGTCATTGGAGCCGGCTTTTCTCACACATTTTTCATGCAAATCCGCTAAACTCTAAACAAATTTGAATAAAACCCCCTTTGTGCAGGCCCTCCATGGTGTTTTTCCACGGGCCGCTCCGCCTGTCTCCGCACACTTCATCCGGGGAGGGGGGAGCGGCGGGGAGATGAGGGGGTGTGGGGGGGTCTCTGCTCGGGCCTGGAGCGGCAGGCAGACCCAAAGAAACTGCGTCCTCTGCGAGGCTCTCAAGCCCCAGATCGCCCCCAGGATGCCCACTGCACCAGCATGGCCCTGCACTGTGCCATCATCACTTGCAGCCCCCCTACAGCACCAGTTCCCCCAGTAATATCCTTTAGCAGCACCAGTTCCCCCTGAAACACCTCCACAGCACCAATCTGCCCCCAGTAGCAGTTCTTCTCCAACTCATGCTAATCCCCCACAGCAATACCACCCCCCCAAGCACCATCAGCCCCCCAGCAACCCAAATTCCTCCCAGTTTCACCGCTGTCCCCACCCAGCACCCCTCGCTGCACTTGGCCATCGCTGCCTCTCTGTGAGATGGTTTGTGGGTGCTCAGGGCTGCACAGGGCAGGAGCACACAGCCCCCCCGGCCCCCCTGCTCCGCAGCCCCCTCGCAGCCCCCATTAGCATCCCCGCGCCCGGCCCCCTGCCCAGCCTTGAACTTGGCCATGCCGGGCTGCGCTCCTTCTGCCTGCCTGGGCTCGCACAATGCCGGCCTTGACCCATTGTTTGCTTTTTTCGGATTTCAGCTGGGAAAGCGGCCACCTCGCGCAGCCTGCCCCGAGCACGCCGGGAGCGGGGCACAATGGGGAACCCTGCTCTGCAGGCAGAAGGGCTCCAAATCATTTGAGAGACATATTCATTATATTCTTTCACGGGGGTCTGTTTGCATTGGGTTTAGCGGTTACTTCCCAGACGGGGTTCAGACCAAATAAAGATCATTGAGCGGCGAGGGATTCGCTCGGGCTTTCAGGGAAATGTGCCTGATGCGGGGCACGGTGCAGCCCGGCTGCCTGGCCCTCGGCTGCTCCCCCTTCCCTCTTGATTTGCCTGGGTTTATTTTGTGTCCGTTGCCTCCTCTGTCTAGAGACTGCACCAAATCACACGCTGGCTTTTGCAAAAGAGAGAGTTTATTTTCAACAGTGCATGGGGTTGGGAGGATTTGAATGGGAGAGAATTACAGGCAGTACATTTCTCTTACAGGAACAGAGAGGGTGCGGTACAACAGCAGCAGGGCTGCATGGCCTGGAAAAGCTCATGGTCCTCATGGGCCCCAAGCACAGTGCCTTTGGGAAGGCTGCGCTTTCACAGCTCCACAGACCCAGGGATCAAGAGCAGCAAGGGCCGAGCTCTGCTCCATGAGCAAAGCCAAACTTCACACACCTGGTATTTCAGCAGGTGAGACAGTGACTGGCTCAGGTCTCTCTGCCTAAGCATTTTGGTCCTGCTCTGGGGTATTGAGGGCACTGAAGGCAACATACAGGAGTGACGTGGGATGATCCCTTGGCTCCCTGCGCTGCCCTGGCTCCCTCCCCATGGCTGAACCGCTGTGTGTCGAACTGATGCAGAAATCCACTGTGTTCACGAAACAAAGCTGTTTCCTCTCTGGGGCCAATGGAGAAGCAGGTTGGGGCTCTCCTGGAGAAACTCGGAGAAGTCAGATGGCACGTCCAGGCAGGTGGCAGTCAACTAGAAGAAGGAACTCACGGGCTTCAAAAGTTCCTTGTCCACTCACTGGGATCTAGGAAGGAAAGAAAGAAAATGGAGTGGTTATGATCTGTATCAGAGAAATGGTACAGTAGTGCTTGGCTGAGAACAGACCAACTTGTCCCTGGTGGAGCAGAACTCCTATCCTCTTTCCCTCCCCACCACATCTTTCTCACGGCTCTGGACCACCTTACCCTCTTCCTTACTGGGAAAACTGTAGTCTCCAAGATGCCAAGCTTCCCCTTCACCCTCCTCAATCCCCTACCTCTGCCTGCCCCGCACACCGCCAGCCAGGGGAGGGCTCACGGCTTGTCCTTCCTCCCTAGGCTTTGGGGCATGGGATTACTCTGCATGTCAGAGCCACTAAAGGCACAGCCCTCTGATGTTTTAATCTTCGTGTTAACTTTCTCTGCCCTCGGCGCCCTTGCCTGACTGGAGAAAGTGATACCAAGCCACTGAGCTGGAGCCGAAGCTGTGATGCTCAGCCCAAGTCCCCTTCTCGGCTTTCCCCACGCCTCCCACATCTCACACCTTGCAGCACGTTCTCCTCCCTTTTTCCTGATTTTTTTCATCTATTTCCTTTACACTTTATCCATGTTGAGTGTGTATTCCCTAGCCCCCAAACCAGTCCTATCCTTTTCCTATCTTCCCTTTGCTTTGCCCACAAACTGTTACATTGGAAGGAGTAAAGACTAATATAACAAATCCTTGAGTACACTTGCAAAAGGAACCATCAGCTGGCTAATTTATTCTTTTTATTGCACCAAATTGTAATTTTATAAAATATTGCAAATTTTATAAAATATTTGCAAGCCCATTTTAAGAGATAAATCTTGTGTGTGGCTCTCTAATGAGCCGCCCTGGGAGCAGCCGGCATGTGATCTGCTGTAGGTCGCACCGCAACGTTCCCAGGCTGTGACTGGATGAACCACCGTAACTCTTTGAACTGTGCAAATACTCTACACTCTGGGGTCCAGGCTGCAATTTTCATGGGTATTTTTTCTCTCTCTTAAAAATAGATCTTCTGTAACCCCTTTATTGCAATATTCATAAAGCACTTGATGGAAATCCAAGGAAAATCCCTTCCCTTCTGCAACTTTGAAGCAAGCCTAAAACTTAAGAGAGGCAGAGGCCAAACCCACCCCATGTGGTTGGTTTTGGTGCTGAGAGAACAGACCCCATGCTGCATGTGTTTAGGGAGACCCAGGCTGCAAAAAGCCAAGGCTCAGCACTTCTTTATCCTATGTGAGATTAGGAGAACATCCCAAATGTTCCCCTAAACCTGGAAAGGATGTTGAGGTCAGGACAGATGAGATCTGAACGATGGTGGGTGCTTTCACAAGCCCAGGAGAGGAGGAGGCAGATGAATCCTTGTTCTCACCAGGGAAAAGCCTTTACCTGGCAGGTAAAGTCCCCTGTCCTGGCTGAACTTGTTTTGGCCTACAAGAAACTCTTCTGTAGTGTGGATAGAGGGGATGCTTGGTACCAGACATCAACCCAGCCTGGAAATCACCTACTGCCTGCCTGGAGGGCTTGAAACTTTTGGCACTCAGTAACTGAGGGCAGGAGGGACTGGACCAGCCCAACTGACTCAACATAAGCTTCAGAAAAACTCAAATGTCCTGCATGCACTTTCTCTCTGTGCAAAGTTCAGCCTTGCACTGAGGGTGCCTGCAAAAATAGGGCTCCACCAGGACCCAGCTCCAACACTGCCTTCCCCCCGCAATGCCCTGCACAGGGAAAACATTGCTCTGTGTGTGGATTTACTGTCCTTTTTTCTTTTTTTTTAAAAGCTGAATAAACAATTGAAATTATAGCTCAGCCTCTGCCCCAACACTTGCTCCAGTGCCTCCTTGTGCCCTTACAAAGCCAGTACTGAGGTTTATATGCTGATAAACTGCCCTGCCACAGCAATTCTGGGCGGTGGGAAGAGAAAAAAAAAACCCCTCAAATAATGGTAAATGGATGCAGAACGCTCTGCCTAATCAGATTCCTGTCCCCTATTGAGGCCAGGAAGGAGGGACCCCGCTCCTCCCCTGCCCTCAGCCCAGCCTCCGCTTCACCGGCTCACACGGAGAAACTTTCTGGACAATTTAATCTCGACAGGGTGTTACTTAGAAAAACCTTTTTCACTGTCAATTTTTTTCCCCCACCCTTCCACCCCCCCCTTTTTTTTTCTTCCCTCCCAGCCTTGATTGAATTTTGCAAGCCCCTGATATCTTTCTTTTTTGTAGGGATGCACGCTGCTTATGCAAATACCAGCCTTTCATACCAGCCTCCCTGGCTCAAGCCCTCCAACTTGAATGTGACCAAAAGCTGTGCTCTCCCCTGCTAACTCCTTAGCACAATTACACCTCCATTCTGCTCCAGGGGCCCGGGGAGGGGGAAAAAAAATCATTTTAAACTAATAACACGTGCTGTTTGCTTTGGATAATTACAAGGGAGCTTCGGCTTCTAAGAGCTATGAAATATTCCGTTCAGCGGGGCGGGAGGGAGGCTCCGTGTTCCGCCTACGCCGCGAGTTTTATCTCCTTACGGAGATGCTCGCGCGGCCTCTCGAGGCTCCCTCCATCTCGTGCTCATCCTCTGCACCTGGGCAAAGCATTTACATTTCCTACGGAGCAACCTGGCGCTGCTTTGGGCTACAGGAGAGAGGAGAAGGCGCCTGACATTTTCCTTATCTCAAGTTACAATTTCCTGCAAGCATCAAGATAATAAAACATCGGAGATGGGCAAGATGAGCGAAATGAATGCGGCGGCTGAGGCTCCCGCAGCAGCGCGGGAAGGGCCGGGCAGAAAGGACACCCGGGGGATGCGGCTGCTCCGCTGGCTCTCGTTTGCATCGCGGCCCTGACGTTATTGTCCTCCTGCCTTGTCTGCTGGGGAAGTTTATGTGGAGGGCTTTTTGCTGGGGCGAGGAGGAGGAGGGGAGTTTTCCCCAAAAGCACCCAGGAATCTGTCAAAAGAGGGACAGAAAAGAGAAGAAGAAGAAGAAGAAGGGAGACAGAGAGTGGGAACGTCAAGGACCCCTGACTAATGAATAGCAAGTTTGCCCTTGAACCTCCCTGGGCTTTGCCATTCCCAGGCTCCAAACAAGGGCTGATGCATGCTTGGGCCCAGCTGCAGGGGGACCGGGCTATGGTTCATCTCAGACACTTTGACAGCCCGGGCCTTTTCCCCACATAGCTCAGACTCGCCTAACTACTCCCCTGGCAACAGCTCAGTGCAGGAACCTGCGCTGAGGCCCTGCCTGCTGCATACAGAAGTACGAGGAGGAGGAGGGGAGCCGCTGGGAGAAATTAGCTAGAGACTGGCTTAACCCATCAAATGCTGGGCAGGCGCTGCCAGCCCCAGCACCCTTTGCTCAGCCCCAGCACCCTCCAGGCACCCCTGGGTGCTCACTGGCCAGTGTCTGCAGCAGAGCTGGAGAGGGGCAGGGGTGGGTTAGACGTGCAGAATTGCCGTGCACCACAAATCCCACGACCTGCTGCTTCACCACGACCCAGTGCCTCGGACCTCGTGAGTGGGAAGGTCCTCATGGTGCCAGGGATGTGGGAGGGAGACAAAGTAGCCAGCTGGAAAAGGCCACCGGACACTGAGAGGAAAGGGCACGGCCTCTCCCCAGTGTGGTGGGACAGGGCACCCCTCCCTGCCAGCCAAAATGAGGGCAGGGGCTGGATGAGAGGCACAAACTTGCCCTGGATGCTCTTTCTGCATTGCAGATCAAAGGCTAAGAACGAGCAGGCCTTAGGGGTCTGCACTGAATGGCTGGAGAGAACAGGCACAAGCACCCGGCGGCTCTAAAATGCGACCCAGAAACGTTCCCACATCCCAGCCCCATATAAATCAAGGGGGGAAAAAAGGGGGAGCTCCATCCCAGCCTCTGTTTTTACAGAGCATCTTTCATGTGCAGCCCCTGAGAGAGGGCTTTGCCGAGCTTGTTAAGGATGGCTCCTGCGCCAGGCAGAGAGGGGGACGCACCATATGGAGAGGAGAAAAAGAAAAGGGGACACTGAAAATGGAAAATTATGCAAAGCAGGAGGAGAGGCACTGGGGGAAAGGGGGGAGGGAGGCAGCAAGGAGGTGGGGGATGGGGAGACAGGAGACTGGAAGTGAGCCCTGACTTGGGGAACACCATTAGCTGGCACTGGGCTGCATGAGGAACAGAAGTTTCCTGTGACCAAGTGCAGGACAGCCCTCTGTACCCTTGGGTGCTGTCACTGGAGGGCATTTCTCCAGCCTGGCCTTGCCTGAGAGCATCTGGGCTGTGCCAGGGCAATGCCCAGCTGGACAGTGGTGGGTGCACTCTGTTTCTGGAGCTGTGCTGCACTGGAAGACACAGCAAAATGGGGTCCGTGGTGACCTACTTCAGAGGTGTCCTGAGGACCTCTGTTACTATAGCAATGAGGGTGCAAGCAAACATTATGGCCTTTTGGACAAGAGTTCTGCTTGTCATCAATCACAAAAACCAGAATAATGTAAGGAGGTGCCAGGGCATTATAAGAAAAGGCTCTGACCAACAGCAATGATAGCAAGGGCCCAAACTGCCCTTGGGTCTCAGCTGCCCGTGCAGTGAAGGTGGATGCTTGGGTGGGTGAAAGGAGAATCCAAATTCAACAGCAAGAGCTCTTCCCTTCCCCTTGGACCCTGCAGAGTCCTGGTGCTGCAGGGTGAGCTGCAGGCCCAGTGCAGCTCAGGGATGCTGTGCAGGCATTCCTGTCCAGGCTTGTGTTACTGTCCAGCTTGTGATCAAACTCCAGCATTGGCCTAACCTGGTGTTTGGAGAAATGACTCAGCTCTTCCCATCCCAGGTGTAGGGCTCCTTTTCCCTATCCTGGAAACACTGGCCTCCTTTGGGGAAACACCCACCTTGTCACTGTGACAGCTTCTTTTTCCCAAAGCCACTCTGTGCTCCAAACTTGTGGCACTCTGCTGGCTCCCTGTCATGGGCCATGACCACCTTGCACATCCTCACTGGGTGCAAGCCCCTTCTCCAGCCCATCTTCCACCCAGCAAGGAAAGCCACCCACACCT